AATTTCAGCTTTGAATATTCACGATTAGCCACAAAAACAAATTTTCACCAAACCACAATAGAGCTTAGTGCTAAAGCAGCTGAATTTAGGTAATTGATATTGGTTTGGAAACACAATATATTTATTTATTCAAATTATTAATAAATATTTTTAAAAATCCCCAAAAATTGCTATTCTATGTTAATGCATTTTTTGTTTTGAAATCAATACGCAACTTATTGTACAATTCGGGGATCATTTAAACATTTTAAATTTGTTGTTACAAATCGAACGGTGCACTTCCATTTTATATTTGGTTATGTTTTGTTTGGTTATGTTTGGCATTGGATTTTTTCGCCGAGCGCAACGCAAATAAATAAAACAAATTAACAAATTATAAAAATTTATTACACGTGGCTTTCAGCGGCGCGTTTGCTCCGAGAGTAAATAAATAAATATGATGAATAAAATAGTCGGCCGATGAAAAATGCGACCTAAAAGTTTGAAAAACCAACACGAGTTGAAATCGTGTCGACCGATCGGATTGAATTGCGACGCCGATACGGCGCACATTTGGTGCGTGCGGAAATATTTTTCAATCCCTGCAAACGCACAGGCGACCAGTGAGTGCTAGTGAGTTATTTATGCAAACGAATAAATAATATATTTAGCTCAATTCAACACGACACGAAATAAAATACAAAATCGTTGAGTTTTTCCTCATAATTCTGATTTGTAGTCGTGATTATCCGGTAAAACAATGATTATACGCGAATAATTACGTAATTATTCGTAAAATTCAAGTTTTGCATTCATAATATTGCTGATAGCATTAAATTTATTAAATTAAGTTAGCTATTATGCTAGGTTATGTTGTATGTACGTGTTCACGTAACAAGCTATTCATTGGCTGTGATTGTATGATAATACAAAGCAACACGATGCCTTGACAAAACTAGAGGCACCGCACACGCCGAAAACGGCGACATGCTACATCGGACAATTGACAATTGACAATATGATTCACGATCAAATCAGACGTTACATCTGTCGGGCGACATTCAAGAGGCGTTTAGCCTAATGAGCATAACGACACTTCCGTCTTTTGTTACATACCACCACATCAACAAAACATAACCTTGCCTAAACTTTTTAACCTCAAAATTTTAAATATTTTCGTTTGGGAAATACATTTTATTAACTTCTTGCTGGGTGTACGTGTAATGCGTCAGTAAAACAGTAAGTAATCAATAAAACAAAGTGTGACAATTATTTATTACCCTCTCGAAAGGCAGTGGTTGTGCGGGTGGTGCGATGTCGTGCATCATTCAACCCCGTCATTACGCACATACCACATGCTCATTGCTCGTGCATGCTCATGCATCGCGCACATACTTCAGTTTCATTTGCAGCTTTGGCGCGCCAGCTTTGTGGTCGTTTATTAAAAGCGCACGTATGATAATGGCGTAGTTTTACGTTTAATTTTACGTTTACGATTTCACGTGCTTGGGGCTAATGCCACGTGATCGCGAACTGCGAATGGAAAAAACAGATCGCGTGCATGCGATGCATAATGTGATTAAATTCGACTTGCATAATGCATGCGATGTCGTCAGTGCTCGAAACTGTGATACTACACTAAAGAGAAATTGATAAAAACACAAGCATGGAGCGAAAAAAACGACGCGGTGTAAGTGGAACATCGTATACATTATGTTATATGATGTCACGCTACGCGCTACAACTTTAAACAAAACTTAAAATACACTTTTAAGTAGTTGAATATGCTCGTAAAAACTGTTTAGGATAAGTTCTATCTGCATATAGTTTTTTATTGTTCAAGGCGGTAAAATAGAGCGATATATAGTGTAATGTGTATCAGTGGTTAGAACTTATAAGTTGGAATGATATTTTGCTTACCATCATCGATGTAGAACATTGTGAGCACTTAATTTTATGGAAAATTGTGGAGCGTTGCGTAAAAACGTTGAAGCCATTATCGATGCACACGTAAAAGAACGCTGATGAAGCCGAAAGAGGAAATGAACATTTGAAAATCATGATGGCGTCGGATCCGGTAGATCATATAAATTATGGAGCACGTAAATTTTTTGTTTCAAAACTTATTTTCTTGTTTTTGCCGAAATATTAACAAATTAACAATAAATTAGTAATAATAAGAGATATATTGTTAATATAAAGTAGTTATAAGTCATTTTATGTGTTTAATTTATTTATAATTGCAATAATATCATTTTTATTTTCAAATTTATTACCATGTTTACAATGCGCCGCCTGGTGGTAGTAACTGTAAACTTGTGCAGAATTTGAATTTCGTGGCGCTTTCAAGGCTAAACACTGTCTAACCTTAAGTTACGAAACACCGGCGCCAAATATAGACATTTATTTTATTATTTTGTAAGTATTTCACACATTATTCCATAATATACAAATTAATAACATTTTAGATAGAATTAAGTGCATTTGGTCATTTGGATAGCCTCGCATAGCTGCACACGGAGATATCGCCGAAAAAGCAGACAATTTCAACCTCACAAAATTAAGATTACAGAATTTTCATTCCGTCCGCTAATGACTTCAACGATAGTTTTCGTATAAATTCCATCATAATTCCCCAACGCGTGATAAACACATGATAAATGCGACTTTAATAGCCTCATATAAAATGCATTTGTTTCGTGTTTTACAGTTTTGGCTCAGCATCATCTTTGGTCTTCTGAAGTGTGTTACGTTGTGTAATACTGCTTTTGTGTGCGTTGTGTACGCCACGAACAAACAACTCTTTGTTTTCCGGACACTTTTACACACTCACATACCAGCGGTGCACTCAATTTTTATTTGGTTCTTAACAGATAACAGATAATCTGTTAACGAATGAAGAGCGATCGAAATGGAGTTCTCGTGTTACGCAACGCGTTTAGTCACACGCGGGTCACGCTGACACTGGCTAACGGACGGCGTGATAAACGAAATAAAACGATGGAATCATTAATGAAGCAATTAACATCGTGACAATCGGGTTATAAATCACATTCATACTTTTTTATTCGAAGTAAATAGCGGTTTACGTTGAACTTAGTTTATAGTTTCAGTTTTTTATCAATTACTCAGAAACTAATAAACTTACAGTAATAATTCTTTCAGCAATCTTTAAAGTATTAAATTCTTCATCTCTAAGTACAAAAATTATATTCTTATCGATGTTTTATCAGGAGATATACGCAAATTTGTAAAAATGTTATGATTTTTACTAAATGTATATTTAAATGTTTATAACTTTTTGTGCAATGCTTTAATTTAAAAAATCTTTATGGAAATAGATGTAGAATTTAATTCTGATTCATCTCCTGAAAAAATCATCAAATTATCACAAATAGTTTTTGAGTAATTGATGAAAAACTAAGACAAATTTTTGGAAGCATGAAATTTGTACGGTTATGTTTTATATCATAATGAAGCAATTCTGTGGCATTGGCTAACAAGAACCCGATCAGTATCGCTTTGATGATCAGCGGGCTAATTGCTCGCTCTCGCTAATTCCTTGCTCAACGCATCCAGCGATTCCTGCGAATCCTGCGCAATTACACACGATTGCGATTGCAACCCGATCGGTATTGAGGTATTCCAGGTATTAGACTAATTATCAAACGTTAATTAATTTAGTTGATGGCTTATAGTCGCTTCCAATCCGCTAACTTACGTCATTCAGGGCCTTAACACCATTGTGCTGGGCTTTGCGCTAAATTTAACAAAATGTATACACCATTATTCCAATCAGAGAGAAAACAGTTTAAAACATATTTTTTCAGTAGAGAAAACGTTAATTTGTTTATAAATATCATAAATATTTAACTTTTACTCCAATTGGATGGTAATATCATGTTTAACACGCACACATCAATAAATTGTGGTTTTTAAAGTTTAAAACACTGTTGTGACGAGTTTCAGACGATAATTAATGAACTAAACGCGGCGTTAATTGGAAATTGAATGGATGGAAATAGACTAGTGACGCCCACGTGTAGAATTTCACAATTTCTGATCGCATTAAGGCGTGAAACGTGTTTACCAGCGACAAAAATAATAAGAAAAAAATCAAAAGTTGAGGAAATCGATGGTTTTGCAACAGTAAACACGCTGGCGTTAATGAATGACTCACAACTTTAGTTATAAACATCCAGCCAAGCCTTAGGATTTAGATTTAAAACTCATTAAAATATTTAGGTCTAAAATTGCTTCTGACTCACAATAAAATATGTTTTTATTACTCACATGGTTATATAATCATTATATTTCGAGTAAAATATAAAAGTATTGTGTTGAAGTGCATATTAATTTACTGCTTAGGCAGTAAAGAAGCAGTTTATTAGTATTTAACTAGAATTTGCGCATTTTTTGAATATTTTCTGGATTTTCAACCCTTTTGAAGATTTTTATTATTTTATGTCCATGTAAGTACAACCAGTGCAGTTGTTTCTCAAAAAAACTTCTTCCCCGTGCGGTCGAAATAAAATCAAGTCACGCGATGTGCTTTCTGAGCTTTGCGAGCTTTCCTGCGGGGCTCCTGCACGCCCGCCGAAACGTAAATAAACCAAACAACTAAAACAATCACAAACTAAAAATACGAGAGTCCGCCGTAAAACAACGCAAAAAACGCGCAGCAAACGTAAAATAAACGTTAAAGGGTTACGGAAATGAGTGTCTACATAAAAAATATGAAAACATACCTGCCGGCTAAAAATAGCACCGCGAGTAACGAGAGCGCACGATTATAATTTCATGCGGAATAAATGAATAATTCCATACTTTATCGCCGATGATACTTTCAATCAAAACCATCAAAATCAAGCGGCATTAGCTGGTAATTATTGCATTATTAAATTATTATCATTAATCTGGTTGACAATGGAGTAAAAAGTAAATAGTCATGTGGAAAAAGGGGACACATTAAATATTTATACAATGGACAATGTAGAAAAACACACATTAATGTTATTTACCGTATTGAAAAGTCCTGATTTTTCTGCTTTTGCTCTGCGTTGATTTTTAGTTGCTCACAGCGCTCGCACTCAAATGTTTAATTTCCTTTGAAAAATTTTTTCTCGTCAGTAAATCACCTTTTTAACACACTGTCAACTCTAACTTCCGGTTTGAGGGTTTTAACTTTTGATAATATCCAATTTATTAATGCACTTTGCACTATAAGTCAATTTTTGATTTCCGGTTTTCCGAGTTAAGATTTGTGGAATTGTTGGTCGCGTCTCCGATTCGAACACGCTCGATGCCTGCAGGTTGACACGCTCCGGCCGCGCGGAGCACCAGCAGTAAACTGATCGGCAATCGTGCGGCATGCTGCCTGCTGCCTGCAAGCAACGACGTACGCTCAGCAGGAATCCAGTCGGTGAGTGTGGCTTCGTATTGTTATTGCGTTGGAGTGTGATGGGAATGATAGTATTAGGGGGCGACAGAGAAAGGATGTGGAGTTGTGGGGAGGCGGTCGATGTCGGTCCTGCGCCGAGACGCTCCTGCGGGGGATGCCTCTGGCGGTGTTCGCCGTCAACCGATTCCGCACGCTTGCCGCCGCCGACAAGTGAGATACATTCCTGCCAGTAGGTGTCGCGGGACACAAAATAATTCAAATAAAATTAATTTTTTTAATTTTTATCAAATTTTTTGATGAAATTTAACTAAAAAATTATTTTAAAGATAATTTTTTGTTGGTTTTGTGATTTTTAATTTTTTATCATTTTTTTTTGTTAATTCTGCGCCAGTGTGACTTTTGTGAGTTGTGAGACACCAGCCGTTCATTTGAATAATTAAAAAAGTACACATTGTGGAAACGCGGCACGCAGACGTTACACTTTGCACTCCTGTGAATCCTGCGCCAGTAAAAGTAGTAAAGAAACAAAAGCCTGCCGGAATGCAAATGTAAAAGTTGCACAACTGCCGCCAGGACAAGAGGGAAACTTGGGTGAAAAGTTTTTGCGAGTAAAGAGCAGCAACCAGGTGCGCAAATGTGTTACCGAACAATCGCGACGAAATTTTAGTTTAGCGCAAATTAGAAATTTAAAAATATTTGATTGTGCGCTTGCGATTTATGCCGCCCCAAAGTTTATATCGTTGAATATTTAATTTAATTATATTCATTGACAGTTGCGAGCGCCAGAAAAGGGACCCCGCCATGAATATGAATACAAATCTTAATTTCTAATTTCGAAATTCCGAAATTCACGTAATTAATCAAATCCGATTGCAAACTCGGTGATTCTGAGACAGAATTTAAATTCATTTACAAGTCAAACTGTAAATCAAACACGAAAAGTTTTTTGTTGTATTGATTAGTATATTTAATTGTTTATTTATGTTCTAAACGCTGAAATAATAAACAAATAATTGGTAATATTTTGTTGGTGTAATTGTTGGCGGGCAACGAACACGAGACTAATTACGCATAATTACGAATCGTACGCATGTTTCGCCGTTGGCTGCGAACGCCGCATAATACACATTAATTAAATGCGCCGCACAACATCGTTTGCATTGTGATATTTAATTAAGTTGGAAATATTAACCAACTTCCGGTGGGTTATCAGTTGGCCGGGGGTTTGCAGGTAGCAAGCCGGCAGCAATTGACATGAATCAGGATCAAAGTCACACGGTCAGAGAGATGCATCCAAATCAGAATTAGAGTATTTGCGATGCGGATAATTAACGAACAATTTCAGATTGTTTTGTGTTCCACTTTTAATAATTCAGAAATATTTCTTAAAAAGAAAAAAAACTATTTTTAAGATTTTTCTTTATTTTAAAAAGTCTTTATCTTTTATTAGAATTTATTTTACGCATAAGAAAACAATTTAAAACAATTTTTTGTTTGTTTTCTAAAGACAAAACAATCTAAGAAAGCAGCAGGAATTTTTTAACGGGTTTTTGGGGGTTTGTTGGGGTTTGGACAATAAAAAATTTAATCTTTAAACTTTTCGCGCCTGGCTTGGCGCTCACACACTGGAAAAAAAACGAGGAAAACTTTGCGCATGTTTTTGCGCCCGTGGTTCGAACATCGACAAACACCCCGCGCCGAAGTTGGGGCAGGTCGTTTAACAAACGAAAAATACGGCGACAAAAAATACTTAATTACTTTGTAACTTTTTTTTACGCTTTTTAGACTTTTATATTTCTATACGTTGCGCGCAATTTTATTGTTGATTTTCTCGCCGGCACACCTAAAGGGGACTGTAAAAGGTTTCATTGTGCAATCGATTTATGAGTTGCCAAAGTTTTGTTTTGTGCAACTATAAATTATCACGCTTGGAAAAATTTAAGAAAATTATGCAAAAACCAAACAAATTTTAAAGTAAAATAAGAATTTTGCACAAAAAAATTGTCCTGAAAAGTACGATAAGGATTCAAATAGTTATTACACACTTTAAATGTATTTTTTTCGTTTTTGGCTTTAGTTATTTTTTGCGCTCTTTGTAAAGTTAATGTGTTTGGCAGGCGAATTGCAAACAAACGAGGAATGTTGGAATAAACATCGAGGACTTCTGATATCAGATTGGAGCTGGAAAACATTGTCCTGTTTCGTCCTGTGGTTTGTATGGAGCGGTGCGATGTTGCTGCCAATATTTTATGCCAATTATGTCTCGGGAGAATTGTCAACTGACTCAATTCCAACATACTGTTATCCGAAAGCGAGGGCTTTGGTGTAGATACAAAGTTTTTGCTTAGTTTTACGAAAATCTAGATAGAAATATAACAATTGCAGGCAAGTAAAGTATAAAAAAATAACAAAAAGTTTTTTAGGGCAAAATTTTTGGTAAAAATGTTCAAGAACCAAAGTTTTGCTAGAAAAATACGAAAATGAGAGTGATACTATAAGTAATTCAAAAATTTAGGTTTAAGTTAACAGTTAATGTAATTGCGCATGCGCAGTGACTTTTTAAAAACGTTTTTGCAATTTTTACTAATTTTGGGTCAATTTTCTCTTTTATACAAAAATATTCCCTCATTTCCTAGTTTTACACATTTTAGCCATTGTACAACACCAAATTGTAGGGTAGTGAGCATTCGTACCCAATGACTGACCCGTGCCATTCATCCGCACAAGAACTAATCGCTCAATGGAGCATGAAGTAATTGTTGCCATCGACTTTTCCATGTCTATGACGATCGGTTCGATAGTTCGTTAGATGCGCAGTTAACACGCGCTAATGCTATTTAACTCGAAACCAATGTAGCAAAAGCAGTAAACGCGATAAATCCACCCAGAAAAAAATTCTCACATCAAAAAACACTAAACAGACATTGAATTAAATTAAAATTAAATTTATAGAATTTCGTACAACACAATAATTTCTACTTGAATACCGCAGGATATAATTTAGCTTAGTTTGTTGCCTTGTGTTAATTTGTAGTTATGACTAACCGGAAGTCCTAGTTTTCCAACTGCAAGAAATTCGCAAGAACTGGCGCCTAAATCAGGCAGCAAGTTTAAATCTACCGTGTTTTGCGTGAAACTGGACAGGCCTGCACTCCTTGCCAAAGGAACAATTCAACATGATAAGCCACATGCGCTTGTGAACTCACGTGCTGCATGCGATACTTATGTGCATTAAAAACAAATCTAAACATACAGAGTGTTCATATGTGTAGATAAAAGACATAAAAATTTAAGTCTAAATTAAATATTAATGAAACTGTTGAATGCGTCTGCTTAGAATAGCTAATTATTGAGATTACGCAGCGATAATTTCAATCCGAGCCCATGGATTAGGACATTAATTGACGGCAACACGCCAGTCCACCCTACGTTGTTCTGGTAGTGAATTGTATCCGTTGTGTGTGCTGAAGATGGTGAGAGATGAGATGAGATGAGATGCAATGAGGCATTGTGAGGTTGAGAGGGGAGTCTTGTTAGGGAGGGTTCGGTCCGGCTTTAAGGACGATCGGACCTCGCCTTGGCGACATGAATCATTCAACGGCCACAATGGCTACATGTGTAATGTCGACACATGTCCACATGCGAATTAATATTGTTCATTATGCCAAATGTTGGAAACTTGCAGATTGAAATTAGTTGTAAATTGGTTTAAATTGCTATGAAACTAGAAATTTACTAAAATAGGCAAACATTTGGGAAATTTTTATTGAAATTGTACAAACTTATTGAAGAATATATAAATATTTTGTATTTTATTCATTTAGTTCCTAAATAGTTGAGGTTAATTTTTATTTGGGAAATTTCAAAAAAGTTTGTCTTTATTTTCCAAAAAACGAAAAAAAATTTGCAAAAAATTGCGAATAATTTTGCAAAATATGAAAAACAAAAACAAAATATGTTTATTTTGTTTTAATACAGTCTTGGAAATTTATTTTGATGCTTTTTTGCAAAAAAATTGAAAAGAATTATCAGTTGTATTGAAATTCTCCAAATTTTTCGCAAAAATGCCAAAACACGGAAATATTTAGCAAAAACTTAAAAATTTTTCTTAAATTGTTTCAAAATTTGATTAATTTGCTTAAAATCTCATTAAAACTAATTTTTGCTAACCAAAACTAAACAAAAATGAAATTTATTTTTTTCTTGTTGTAAAATAGCTTGCATTGACTGTGACGTTGACTCCGGCGGTTTAGATTATCCTTATCCGTGTAGGTATAGCCACGTATAAGTTTGATTCGTTTCGGGTTGGTTGAGGTTGGCTGACTTGGACTTTTCCGATGCCACCCCTAATCCGATCGCATAGACAGCGGATGCGATATATACGGGCCGACGTTGCAGCGCCGCGGCCGAAAACGCGCCAGGGTGTGAAATTGGGCAAGCCCGACGCAGCGTGCAGACCGTCCCCGCTCACCCCCTGCGCTCCTGCGGGCCCTGCAGAAGCTCAACTCAACTAAAACGGTCACAGACTCTCCCTCATAGTCTCATAACGTCATAGTCTCATAGTCTCATGCTTCATTGATAAATTGATATAGATGTGTCGTAGTGGTCCTAGAACCGTCTGAACCAGATAATAATAATACATTGCTATATTATTATTTGATAATTTTATTATTTTTAGGTTAAAATATTTAAAAAAAGATTTTTGTTGAAAATGTTTTATTTTTTGTTAAATACAACTCTGGTATGGATTTCAATTGGTCCCAGTATGTTCGGGAATGAGTCCAGCATTGAGTATATCCTTGAAATCCAGATTTTTGCGCTCGGTCCACTTGGGGAAGCATTCGCAAGTCGAAATGAAAACGCTCCGGGGTTTTTATGCGCCGCAGTCAGAATCTGCCTGCCCAAGCAGTATGGGTAAGTGTACTAAACTGTACTGAGA